TGTGAAACACTTTCTTGGAAATGAATAAAAAATTCTGTACTCACAATTATTGTAAAATAATATACAACACTATAATATTGCATATATAGAGAACGTGCAATATACTCTAATATACAATATATGAAAATACAATTTACATTTTTTTTGTCACAATTAGTATGCTCAATGACCATTAATATACCATATTTCATAGGTATAAATTAATTCCACTAAATATAATTTTATTTCAGAACTTAGAATATTAGGAAAAAACCATTACAATGTGTGACAAGCAAGATGTCCTGTCAATCCTTCCTGTTGTGCTGAGTTAATTGCATTAGAGCATGAATGTTTCTGTCTACACATATACTATGTTTGTTCTGCTAAGATTTTGTCTAGAAATATGCTTTTTCCAGTATCAGCATTGTAGCATTAGATATCTCTTTATATACTGTTCCTGAGCCCTAGAAATTAACTTTTTTCAGTAACTGTTCTAGGGAAGACTTCGATCTAGGAACTGTAGCCTCCTTAATAGAGCTATAAGCATTGCTGATTCTGAACCCATAAAGTACTCATACATACAATTAACTTAGCTCACATGATTATGCACACTAATTGTACAGTGTTACTATTCACTTAAACGCTGATCTGCATTGAAGACAAGACAACACAGAATCTGGATGAAATCTTACCCTTTTTATATATCACCAATAGAGTATTCACCTGTATGTCTCTCCACCTGGATTATTCATAGAATCATAGAATAGTTTGGCTTGGAAGGGACCTTAAAGATCATCTAGTTCGAACCCTCCTGCCATAGGATAATGTTCATCTTTGAACATTAAGTTCAAAAGCTCCATTGCAAAAAAACCAAACCAAACCCAACCAAACAAACAAACAAAACCAAACCTCCTGACCTGTGAGTTGGAACTGAGCGCAAATTTGGCTAATGCACTTGCTCTTGACAGATCAATCAGAAGCAGGAAGAATGGTAACGCTTCACTGGAAAAAAGAGGCATATGTTAAAATTCAAGGTTTATCGTACAGGAAAAATAAAATCAGGCAAGGAATCCAGAATAACAATTCATTACTTACTTTAAACCTGTCAATTCTTTATCCAAGAAGTGAATTACCACTGTACTAAAAACAAAACTTGAGAAGATTGTGAAGAGGCCAGCAATACCTTTAAAAAAAGAGAATTGGAAATTTTTGTTTTATATATATTGGGAGGGAAAAAAAAGGAAAAAAGAAAAACTATACCTTTAGATCAATCCTGAAGCAAACAAATGACAATTCTCAACTCTCAGAGTGCATTAACACCAGTCGAGATACAAGCTGAAGTAGATGCTATTTTTGTACAGATATTTAAATCTAAACTTTGTACTGCATTCAAAATAAGACTCTAAGAAATAAAAGCCATAAATCTTCTCATTCATTACCAGCAAAAATGAAGACTGGCTTAAACAGCTCTGTATTTTTAAGTGTTTCATACAATAAAAAATTATTTCAAAAATTACATTTTCAGTGTTTATATAATCCTACACAATCTCTTAAAAAAAAAATTGCACTTTTATCTATGCAGAACATTTATTCTGCCATCTAGCAAATAATTAAAATAACCCTGTTCTGTATATAAGTATTAAAATTCTAGTATTTATTACCAATTTATATTTAAAAACTAATTAAAATGCATACAGCAAATACAAAAAATCAGATACAGTACCTAAAATGTATTTTGACCCAAGCTGCCTTAGGTTCTGAAACTGGAAATATATATAAAGGATTGCTATACAGCGTGTGATTGTCAGGATGATGATGTCACTGCTCAGAACATCCTGTTTGAAATAAAAAGCAATTTCGTTAGCTTTTACATTAAGTAGTAACTTGTTGTTAAATTTCAATAATAAAAAAATCCATTGTGAAGCTGCATTAAAGATGCATTAAAATAAGTATCACTGCTAGTCTGTCTTAAAAAATTGAAATATTGCAAACCATATTAATGTAAAATCCTTGTTCACTAGATACTGTGCAACTGAAAGTTAGATTTGAAAATATTCTGTAACGCATCACTGCTTGCATACAGCTTTAATATCCACAATGGGAAAAGAAGGCAATAAAGACATTTCTGCATAGCTACTTTCCTCCTAATACATCACAACCTGATCTTACTCTACAGAAAACCCTGGATCTACTGATTAGCAGTGAGTACTATAACACGAATTTAAATCCTTACTTCTTCAAGTTTGGGGCACTCATAATTCCAGCCACAGATCTTATCATTCCCAGTGAACATCTTCATGGACATCATACAGATGGTGAGAGTCACTGTTCCCACAATGACTTCCCATGGATGAGAGGCTACAAAAAGGCCATGCATTCGAAAGAGTCTGGACAACATTTTCAGGACTGTTTTTCTATACTTAGCGAACCTGCAACAAAAGAATATTTCATATAAGCAAGTACGAGAGTCAGGGAAAAAAGACAGAGCTCTATGAACTTCTGCAAGTCATCCCTCAGAGAAAAAAAAAACAAAACCAGTTAAGTAACAAATGAGTAAGGAAACTAATCTTCACCTTTCAACTTACCATGTAAAACACATTTATTTCTAATCTTCTGAAATATAATATGATCTGCTCCTGCCTTCTCAATCGTTGTTTTTTTAATACACATCTCCCTTGTTTCATCAAGGTCTTACTAGTAAGTCTCTGTAACTCTCACAACTCTTAGTATCTTCCTGTCACACAACTTTGATAGCACTTTGACTCCAACTTCTTGTTTTTACCACATATGTAAGCACTCACTAAATTCTGCTACTTCTTTCTACTCACTCTTCCTATCAAAAATATCAATTAGCTTTATTTTAACTATATAAATTACCAACTAACCATTGTTGGTAATGCTCAACTTCAACAGCA